GCGACACTGTGACAAAGGAAGAGGCCGAGAAGTGTCCCAGAAGCCAAGTGGGAGAGTCTCAAGGGGTCAGTGGTCAGTTGTGTCAAATGCTGCAGAGAGGTCAATCCAGTTGAGGATGGACAACTGCATTTGGCATCACAAGGGCCACTGGGGACTTGGCAGAGCTCTTTTGTGGGAGTGTGGGGGCAAGCATCTGATTGGAATGGGTTTGAGAGAGAACCAGAGGCAACTCCACCCGCAGGTATATATCGAACCAAAATGTACAGGTACATGCACCAGAAGACTCGTCCCAGCAAAAATGTCCAGAGCCATGTGCTTGTAACCGCCAAAAAACAGAGGCACCCAAATGCCCTTCAATTGTAGAACAAATCAATTCTAGTACATACATTCAATGGAACACTATGCAGCAATGAAAAGGAATGAACTGCTGCTTCGTGCAACAAGAATGGCTCTCACCAACATAATGGGGAGCAAAACACAGAGAAAGGTTCACACTGTGTCAATCCACTCACGTAAAGTTCAAAACAGGCCAAAGCAATCCACTGACAGACGGCAGGACCCTTGGGGACAGGGAAGGATGAAGGACTGGGGGGGTGCGGTTGGGGGGTCCCCTGATGTCCTAATTCACGGCAGTCAGACAGTGTTCACTTTGTTAGACTGGTTGGGCTGTGTACTTACTTGTGCACTTTTCTGTAAGCGTGTTATGGTACTTCAATAAAAACATTCACGCTGGAAAAGACAATAACAGGAGGGGAGGACGTGCACACAACGAGCGCGGCAGCCCTTTGGAGTCGTGCTCTAAAGGGACAGAGAAACGGGCAGGGGCTGGGACCTTGAGGAGAGTGGGCAACATTCAACCGGCCCAGAACGAGCTCTGCTGGGCAGGCCCGTTCTCTCGGCGCGGCCCGCACACTGTCAGGGACAGAAAGGGACAGACTCCAAAATGCCCGCCATAATATCCCCGGACTCCCGCGGAGTCAGCGCGCCGGGCCCCACTCCCCCCACGGGACCGTCCTCACTCCTCCACTCCACCTGCCTTCAGGACAGGCCTGCAGAGGGCACCGCACACCCAGCAGACGTCACTGTCAACTCATTCATTCAGCAAATGCATTCAGCAAATACTGGACGCCTACTAGTCTCAGGCTGCCTCTGTGGACAAGATAAAGGCCCTGGGACCTCCGGGGACGGACACTCAGTAACTGCAGGGTGCTAGGTGCTGGGTGCGCGCTGCCGGGGGACGGGCAGCCCCAGAGTCGAGCCCCGAGCTCGCAGCAGGGCCGGCCCACCGCCTCCTCGCACGCGGCTTCCCCGGCCGGCGGCGGGGTGCTGTGCGCCCCTCGACCGTCTGCCCACGCGC